CTGCCTGATCCAGAGCCTCGAAATCGCTCCCGTGAAACATCCACGAGTGCGTCAGCGAAGATCCATCATGTGGCACTTCCCATTCCGTCGGAGAGATCGGCTTCCAACCCGCTTCAAGCAGGTACATGATGACAGTCGTCATGGGGCCGCGCACGCGACGTGCGCGCTGCCCCACAGGTAAACTGGAAAGGTGCTCGACTGCCCGCGGCCAAGCCCGCATGATGGCTGGCCTGATCTGGGAGCCGGTCAGCCACACACTCAGCCATTGCGACAAACATTGCCGCGGCAGCCGCACTCCAGGATCATGACCTGGGAGTCTGAGCGCCAGCAGCGTCGTGAGACACCTGCCACGCTTGGCTGACCCCGCGGCAGCGCCAAGACGACGGCGCTGTGAGCGCAGCACCGAGCCGAACTGCCCGTACACGTGGTGCCCGTAGACGGCGGCAGCCTGCGGCCCCGCACGCTGCAGCTTGGCGGACACCGCCCAGCGCCGAGCAGCCTGTGCGTACTTCCGCAGCCGCCCGTGCGTCTTGCTGGACTTGAGCGACCGCTGCCTGACGGTCGCTCGGCCGTGCCGCCTGCCGCAAGATAAATCCACCCCGAGGTAGGCTGTCTGCAGCACGGCTCGCAGAGTGACGCCCTTCCTCTTGAGAACGCGCTCGACCACCTGCGCATCACTGTGGTGCGAGCACAAAACAACACTTTTGTCGGCGATAGCCAACTGCAACTTGGAGAACAGCCTGATGGTAGATAGCACTCCCTTGATGAGCGTGGATCTAAGGTGCTGTCTCGAGCCCATGACCCTCTGAGATAAATCATCAATCCAGATTCGCTCAGATAGTGAAACATGCGCCTGACAGAGACGCTGGCACACGCATGCTGTGAGGCACCTGGCAAACCTCGTGCCGTTCCGCAGCCCTTGCACCACTGATCGAGTCACCTGGAACGGTTCGCTGAAAGAATCGATTTGCTCCAGCATGCGCGGAGCCAGGCAGATCTGAAGTTCCAGATACAAAATAACTGCGGGAAAACCTTTGCGCATGGCACACAAGGTCAAAGGTTCCCACTCGATGGAATCGTAAAAAGACGCAATGTCGACCACCGTCTGACCGTGCGGTATGTCCAGGCGTGAGTGGACCTCGTCCTGCAACGCCCGAACGAAAGCTTCCCGCAGGGCGCTGTTCCCCGCGATGGCTGCGCCCCAGTGGTCCGTCTCCGCCTGCAGGGCGGACCACTCCTTCATCTGCACCTCCCTGGCCATGGACCAGACACGGCACAGCATCGCGATCAAACCGATCACTCTGTCCCCGCCCGATTTCTTGCCCAACAGCTTCCCCACCACACACATGACCTGCCATGGCCAAGAGAGGCCTTCCTCGATCATGTGGAAGAGGTCGCAGAGGCACTGGATGCCCTCGTCGGGCAGCCTCTCAATGCCGGTCGGAGATAGCCTGTCGATCCCGAGGCCTGCCCGAGCCTTCATGCGAGCTAGAGCCGCACGAACGTCCGCCACGTCCAGCGGGACGAGCTGCTCCACCTCAGCTCTGCTCCTGACCGTACTCATGGTAGCCAGGATCCCATCCCAAGAGGCCACCTCGGAGTGCCACAGCTTGCGATAGCGTAGCACCTTGCGGTCCACGATATCCTTGGGATGAACTCTGACCGATCCGTCGCAGTCGTGGAACTCGTCGCGCTCGGGATCTGGGTCCTTGAGCGATCTGAAGACTTGCCCCTGGGAATCAAGACTGCTGAACCACTGCTGAAAATCCTTCAATGACGAGGCCGCAGCACGATTCTGCGCCCTCTTGGACGCTCTGAAAGTCTTCTCCTCCAGCATGCTGAGCTCGTCGAAGCTGAGCTCGAGCAAACGCCTGAGGTCCTGCAAAAGCCCCTGCCAGGAGCCGAAGTGCGCAGGGAAAGCTGCGCCAGCTCCGTCCACTGGCTGGTCAGCCAACCTGACGGACGCCGACGCCAGGTAGCCCAGCTGCACGATGCCGTTGCTGCGCCTCCGATGTCGTAGCATTCTCTGAACAATATTGTGAATCCTTGACCACCATGTGGATATGCCGTCTCGCAATGGTTCTTGACGAATGTGCTCTGCTTGCCTCACCGACACCACCTGTAGGTCGCAGCCGCCTGCCCTCGACCGCTCGGGAGCTCCGATCTCGCGATGAGAGGAGATGGCTAGCTCCGCGGCCTGGACCCATCGCGAGAAGGCCCCACTGATGGGCAGAACATGCTGCGCACCAGCTTGGAAGGCGAGAGACTGTCGAATAGGAGGCCAAACATCGTGAATAGAGTGTGCAGTCCAAGGGACTTGAGCCAAAGCGGCTACCCACGAGGAGGGGGGAATAGAGAAAGACGGGAGAGGAGCAGGAGAGGCAGCGGCACCAGCACGGGCGAGATGATCGCTGACCCCCTCTAGGGGACCGTCGTTCCGAGGACGCTCGGCTGGGGGGGACAAACCATTACCTTCACTCCGAATTGCTGCTGCATCCCCAGACGCCGCCGACGAAGCCTGTGTCGCCTCGCGCGCGCCTGGAGAGGGGCTGCTAGGAGATTCCGAGACTCTAGGTGCGGGCTGAAAGGAGGACTCATTGGCCCAGGGGTCCTCCTCATCAGCCTCGAAAAGCCCCTCGAAGCTTTCATCCCCAAGAGGATCGACCTGCGACGAAAAGCCCACGGGGCCGCCGGCCGACGGGTCGAGATCACTAGGGCGCGAGGCTCGGGGGAAGACGCGCTGCCGAAAATGTCACCATACAGCAACTCACATTCACTTATCAGACGCTCTTTCTTTTTCTGAACTCGCTCGGCCTGCTCGAGCTTCTTCGCGCTCGACTTGGACCCAGCAGTGGGTGCTGCAGACGGCCTGGGCACTTGCGGCAACCTAGGAGCGACAAGCAAAGATCTGCAAAGCAACTGTTCGCCATTGCCTCTTAGCCGTAGCTCAAGCCCAATGTGAGGGGCCCATGGCGTGTCAACAACTGGGGTGGTACTGCGAATGTATGGAAGACAGCACTCAGACGCCATGACGAAATCGATGTGAGAACTACCTGCACTCCCGACGCATGTGCACTCCACATCAGCCCGACGGATCACGCCTCCGACGCGGCGACAAAACGCTGACTTCTGAAACTTTGCAACATCGATGTTATAATCCCTTATGACGAGCCACGGAAGCTTCACAGAAGACAAGAATGCACCCAATTTGGCAAATCTAGCTGAGTTAATACCCGTGAATTCGACTGACCGATGTGCGTAAAACAGTACTACAAGCAGCGAGAAGCCACACAGATGCACTAGCACAGGCATGAAACCATCGAGGGCGTCTGAGCCCTCGGCACAGTAGCTGCTGGCACCCTCACGCGGCTTGTCATAAACTCTATGAACTGAAAGATGACTTCGAGCCAACATGATCTCCCCGCCCTCGTAGGCGCGCCCCTCCGTCGCCTTCGAGGTGCCTCGACCAGTTGATCTCGCTGGATTGTCAAGGAACTTGAGCATGGCGCTCCGAGCTCGACGAGCCCACTTGGCCCTGGTATGGGCCCCGATGTGCGACTACACCATGCCGATGTACTCGTACTTGGACAGCGTGGCCTCGGAGCTGACGTAGCTCCAGGTCTTGTTGCCCAGCATGGTGACGCTGCTGAAAAACATGCACACGGAGGAGTCGACCTCGCTGGTGGACTGCTCCTCCGCGCTCGGCTCGAGCGGCTGGGTGACTGCAGGCGCCGAGAGACCTGCAGCCGACGCGCCGCCTCATTGCGGCGCCTCCGCCTTGCCCGCCTTTGGAGCCACACCTGCAGCCCCCTCGGCGGCCGCCTTGGCAGCTGCAGCGACTGCCCTGATGCGCTCCATCTCGATATTGATCTCATCCTCGGACGGCGCGCCAGGCTGAGCCCCTTGGGCTGCTGGCTGGGCCGCAGCAGCGGGTGGCTGCCCTTGGCCCCCGCCGCCTCCAGCGCCGCTTGCCGTGCTGCCCGCGGCAGCGCCGCTGGTGCCGCCGTCGATCTTCCTCTTCTTGTCCAGGCGCCCCTTGACCTTCGCCCTGAGGTCGAGGACCTGGGTCTTCCACTTGAGCACCTCGTCGGCTTTGCTGATGACGCTGTCCCTGACCGCCTTCAGCTCTGCCTCGACCTTTTTGAGCTCAGCTCTCTCGCCCTCTGTGCACTCGAGGGTGTCGAGCTGCTGGAAAAACTCCTCGTCCCATGTGACGTTCATCATCGGCGCCTGCTCAACGTCAGCGCCTCCTGCGCCAGAGGTGCTGCCGCCGCCAGCGCCGCCCGCGGTCTGCACGTCCACGCCCGCCTCGCGGGCCAGGGCCACCGCGGCCGTGCGCTTGCTGATCTCTGCCAAAGCCAGCGAGCGCGCCGCCTCCTCCTCCTTCCTCATCGCTGCCACCAGGTTCTCCTGGCAACGGGAGACGGCTGCACTCGCTTGCACATGCTTCTGCTTTGCATCTTTCCACGCGCCCTCTGCTCGCCGAACTGCTTCACTCGGTGAGACCACAGGCAACTGCTCCGCCGCCTGGGCCCCCCGCTCAGCGAACTCAATCTGCTCAGCGAGCACCTTGCGACTGACTGGGTCGGTCACTCTGGCCATCGCAGCGGACAGCGCCTGGATGGTAGACGTAGTGGCTGCCACTTGAGACCCGACCGAGCCCTTGACATTCTGCAAAGACGGCTGAGTGGACGAGGATGCTGGACCTTTCTTCGGTTTATACAGCTTGACTGGACAATGGCACTTGGTGCACTTCCCAGAGTTGGCCACGATCCTCTCATTGTACTCATACGTACCACACTTCGCACATGTACTCCATGCCTTTGCCATGGACCACGGGCGAAGCCTCGCTTTCGCCTACGCAACTGGCCGTCCGAAGGGTGGACAGAAAGTGCGCAGCCCCCCAAGCACCACGTGGAGGCGCGAGGTTGGGCGTCGGATGCCAAAATGGCGCTCGAGCCCAAGTTGCTTGAGAGGAGGAGGAGGAGGAGGAGGGTGAGGGAAGGGCGCCCCTGGGCTGGAGGCCGGATGTTTCAGGCTCTGGGCGCCGGTTTTGGCTCGCTTGCAGCCGGAGAGACGACGCTTGCAGTCCTTCACTCTGGCTTTCCCATCACGGTCTGCCGTGGCAGTGCAATCGGATGGGCGCAGCGCCGTTCGCCGCCGCGCGCCACATAGCGGCCCACACACTGCGGAGAAGCAAACATCTGGTGGATCGAGATGGGTATGGAAAGAGCGGTGACGCAGCCTGACAGCAGTCCTTCTATATTTTGAACAGAGTCCAAGTTCTCACAGATTTTTCCTTCATCCTCGTCCAGATTGATCCTCGACCTGCCCTCGTCTTAGCATTGGAGAAGAAGACATCGTCTGATGTCTGAGCTTGGCCAGGGAGGGGGGCAAGCGACCGCGCGTCCGCGGCGGCAGCCCGCGGATGGCTCCCACCGGCGTGTCGCTGGACCAGTCGGAGCATCCGCGGGTCGTAGTGCAGTTCTGGCGACAGGGGGTGGAGCCACGTGATCTGGAATTGTTATGCGTCGGGGGTGGACAGACCTCCTACCCTGACACGTCGATTAAGGAATTGGCCGTTTTCGTTTCGCGAGAGGGCGTCGCGGCCGTCACTTTTGCGGGTCCAGGTCCGTCGATTTCGGTCCCAGGCCGTTTTCACTAAGGGGAGGTCTACTAAAGGGAGGTTTGTCCACCGCCGAATGCGTGTCAGCTGCATTCGACGGGTGGTCACTGGACCAGTTTTCAATACATATGCCGATCAGTTGGTGCTGGTTCCAGCTCGGAGCATTTTTTCGGAGGTGGCCTCGAAACAGTTCTGAACACTGGCGAGAGGAGCAGAGGGCATCCAGCATGCATCAAGTCTTTTTTGCCTCGCGCTTATTTGACGAATCGCCGCCGCCTTGCGGGTTTCATCGCTTGTGTTGCGAATCACGTTCGCGTCTGTCATTGGTGCACGCGGGCTCAAAGAGCTGACTGACGGCACTGCGGACAGAACGGGAGTGAGCGCAGCTAGAGGGCGCGTTCCGGCACCGTTAGTATTGCTCGTCCCATCGCTCTCTCTGAACCACCTCTGATTGACCATCCTTAGGGCCGCTTGGGGTGCCAGTTCCAAGGAGGCATATTGTCCCCAGCCTGGAAGAATATGATCTTGGCGAAGAACCCAACCATATGCAGTTGTGGGTACCGTCGTTGTACGCCCCGCAGTCTGTGACGCTCCCTATGGGGCCACGAAGCATGTGAGCGGTATGCCAAAATGGGTGCGGTGGCTGCATGCGAACGCTGGCATTTTGGCCATCGGTGGGGCTCCCTATGGGGCCACGAAGCGTGTGAGGGGTGTGCCAAAATGGGTGCGGTGGCCGCATGCGGACGCTGGCATTTGGGCCTTCGGTGGGGCTCCCTATGAGGCCACAAAACGTGTGCGAGGTGTGCCAAGATAAGAGCGGTGGCCGCATGCGAACGCTGGCATTTGAGCCTTCGGTGGGGCTCTTTGTGAGCCCACGAAACGTGTGAGGGGTGTGCCAAAATGGGTGCGTTGGCCGCATGCGAACGCTGGTATTTGAGCCTTCGGTGGGGTTCCCTATGGGGCCACGAAACGTGTGAGAGGTGTGCCAAAATGGGTGCGGTGGCCGCATGCGAACGCTGGCATCTGGGCCTTCGGTTGGACCCCCTTTGGGGCCACGAAACGTGTGCGGCGTGTGTACCACAGTGGGTGCGGTGGCTGCATGCGAACGCTGGCATTTGGAACTTCGGTGGGCTCCCTAAGGGGCCACGAAACGCTCGCGGGGTGTGCCAAAATGGGCGCGGTGGCCGCATGCGAACGCTGACATTTGGGCCTTCGGTGGGCTCCCTAGGGGGCCACGAATCGTTCGCGGTGTGTGCCAAAATGGGTGGCTCCCGATGGGGCCACGAAAAGTGCGAGGGGTGTGCCAAAATGGGCGCGGTGGCCGCATGCGGACGAGGGCTTTCGGTTGGGCTCCCCATGGGGCCACGAAACGTGTGAGGGGTGTGCTAAAATGGGCGCGGTGGCCGCATGCGAACGCTGACAGTTGGGCCTTTGGTGGGGCGCCCTATGAGCCCACGAAACGTGTGAAGGGTGTGCCAAAATGGTTGACTGGTTCGGAGGGCAGAGGCAGGGATCGAAGAAGGAAGGGGAGCGAGGAGGAGAGGAGGAGAGGAGACGCGGGGCGTTGTCTCTTCAAAACGAGGACCCAGCACCACAGGATGGTTGGGAACAAATTATCCGGGCGAAAGACCCAACCATACTGCAATTGTGAGTACCGCTTTTGGTGGAGCTCCCTATGGGGCCACGATGTGAAGGGGTGTGCCGACATGGGTGCGGTGCCGCCATGCGAACGCAGCCACTGGTGCCCTCGGTGGAACTCCCTATGGGGCCACGACACGTGCGAGAGGTGTGCCGAAATGGGTGCGGTGCCGCCGTGCGAACGCAGCCAATGGGGCCCTCGGTGGAGCCCCCTTATGGGGTCACGAAACACGTGAGGAGTGTGCCGACATGGGTGAGGTGCCGCCATGCGAACGCAGCCTCTGGGGCCCTCGGTGGAGCTCCCTACGAGGACACGAAACGTGTGCGAGGTGTGCCGAAACGGGTGCGGTGCCGCCATGCGAACGCAGCCATTGGGGCCTTCGGTGAGCTCCCTATGGGGCCACGAAACGCGTGAGGGGTGTGCCGAAATGGGTGCGGTGCCGCCATGCGAACGCAGCCACTGGGGCCTTCGGTGGACTCCCTATGGGGCCACGACACGTGCGAGGGGTGTGCCGACATGGAAGAGGTGCCGCCATGCGAACGCAGCCATTGGGGCCTTCGGTGGAGCTCCTTATGGGGCCACGACACGTGTGAGGGGTGTGCCGAAATGGGTGCGGTGCCGCCATGCGAACGCAGCCATTGGGGCCCTCGGTGGAGCTCCCTGAGGGGCCACGAAACGCGTGAGGGGTGTGCCGAAATGGGTGCGGTGCCGCCATGCGAACGCAGCCACTGGGGCCCTCGGTGAGCTCCCTATGGGGCCACGAAACGCGTGAGGGGTGTGCCGAAATGGGTGCGGTGCCGCCATGCGAACGCAGCCACTGGGGCCCTCGGTGGAGCTCCCTATGGCGCCACGAAACGTGCGAGGGGTGTGCCGACATGGGTGAGGTGCCGCCATGCGAACGCAGCCATTGGGGCCTTCGGTGGAGCTCCTTATGTGGCCACTAAACGCGTGAGGGGTGTGCCGAAATTGTCGCGGTGCCGCCATGCGAACGCAGCCACTGGGGCCCTCGGTGGAGCTCCTGATGGGGCCACGAAACGTGTCAGGGGTGTGCCGAAATGGGTGCGGTGCCACCATGCGAACGCCGCCACTGGAGCCCCTGGTGGAGCTTCCTACAGGGCCACGACACGTGTGAGGGGTGATGGTGGTGACGAATGCGATGATGATGATGTTGATGGTGATGATAGCGGTCGTGATGATGGTGACGATGATGATGGTGTGGTGATGACGATGACGATGCTGATACTTATGATGAGACGGTGATGGTGGTGGGAGGAGGGAGGAGGGGGATGAGGAGAGGAGAGGAGGAGGAGAACGCGGGGCGCTGTCTCTTCAAAACGAGGACCCAACACCACAGGATGGATGGGAAAAACCAACAACAACAAAAAGCGGGCCAATGACACTTCCCAGACGCAATTTCTGTTGACAGACCATTTGTCAAGACTCAACAGCCACTCCAGTGACACACCAACAACTAATCCAGGACAACTTCGGGCCCCGCGGGGAGGTTGATTCCTGAGCGCCCCAGGAGGGCCCAAGACGATCCCAGATGGCCCCAAGACGGCCCCAGCGGGCCTGAGGAGGCCTCAGGAGGGCTCGACGAGCTCCCCAAGACGGACACGAATGGGCCCAAGACGGCCCAAGATGGCCCACTCGACAGCCGAAGGGGCTCCCCACATGGCTCACAGGGGGCCCGAAGACGACTCCCAAAAGGCCCCCGGGAGGCAAAACTTATGAATTCCTTAGGCGTCGGTACCATTTTCGCATACGCGGCATCTCGGTCTCAAGAGCGCTCGAGACGGCCGAAGAGGCCCCCGAGATCACTCCAAGATGCGCCCACGAGGGCCCAAGACCCCAGGACGGCCCACGGGGGACCCAAGACGGCCCCAAGACGCTCCAAGAGGGCCCGCGGAGGGGCCCCAGGCGGCCCAAGAGGGCCCCGGGACAGCCCAGCTGGGCCCCCGGAGCAGCCCTGAGACGGCCCAGAAGGCTTCCAGGCGGCCTGACGACGGCCGCAAGAGACCCCGAAGAAGGCCCCCTCGGGACTCCGCATTAGTACGGCAACGGTCACAAATGCATTGTTTTCCAAATATGGATCAGCCTACATACACACAGACACACACACACACAAACATATACATACACATACACATGCACATGCACGTGCGCATGCACATACACATACAGACAAACAGACATACAGACAGACAGAAATACAGACATCCTGGCATACAGACAGACAGACATACAGACATACAGGCATACAGGCATACAGACATACAGACATACATACATACACACGTAGGTATATACGTTTGTGGCGCCCCCCGAGACCAACCTTTCGGCAGTCGTCAGCCTCATCCTCGCCCTCCTCCGCCTCCCCCTCCTCCTCCTCCTCCTCCTTCTCCTCCTCCTCCCTTTCCTCCTCCTCTCCTTCATCCCCTCTCCTCTTTCTACCACGCTGCTTTATCCTCTCCATGGGGCGGATTGATTGCGGCCTGAGGGACATCAGCGCAAATCTGACGACTACTACTACTACTACTACTACTACTACTACTACTACTACTACTACTACTACTACTACTACGACAGCAACGACGACGACGAATACTACCACTGCCACTACAACTTCTGCTGTTGTTGATGTTGCTACCACAACTACACATATTACTACAACCCGCCAGTACCAGCACTGCCATCGCCGCCGCGACCACCACTACTACCGCTGCCACCACCTCCGCTCCCACCACTACTGCTACCATCGCTATTACCGCTACCACCACTACTACTAGCTACTCCCGCTGTTGCTGGTTGGCGTTGATACTGCTGGTCTCTTGCGACATGGTTCCGTCCGAAAATGCCAGGGGCGCCAGCCAATCGCCGAAGGCGTGTCGCGGTGTCAGCTTTCAGCTGCAATCCGGACAAGCAGCGCAGAAGGTAACGGTTTTTAGCGTGGATGCAACAACGATTTTGGCCAACAGCCATTGCCTCATCTGGCCAACGGAAGCGTGATCGACGGATGAATTCCAATCTGCGCTTGCACCCGACCAAGGAAGTATGAAGCAGACAGTCTACTCTTCAACCCGATCAAGGAATTACGAAGCAGACAAATTGCGCTGAAGAGCCGTCTGGCAGGCGAAGCACAGAGCAACCTTCTGCTCATACTTGGAAATCGCATGAGCATAAATTGCTAGCCGCGCAGCCTTCGCCCACTTGTGGCACTGAGGAGAAGCGCAGATCGGATGCGAACCCCTGCCGAAAGCGGCAGGCTTCCTTGCGCACGCATCTCCCCCTTGGGCGCGCGGCGATCGATTTCTCTGGGGCTTGCACAACCAGGCGCGCTTGATGCAGGGCGCCCTTGGCGATCATCCTCGGGCACAACCTGTGTTCCGCGCCAATCCCGTGCCAAATCCCACCAGCCCTTCAGGGCGTGAGCGGTCCAGGGAACTCGTGGTTGACTCCTGTCTTCGTCGTCGTCGCATTACATTATGCTCCCTCGCCCTCGTGCCCCTCTCCCCATCATGTCTCTTGTTTTTCTTATCTGTCCTGCTCCTCATCTTCCTCCCCTAGTCCTCCTTCTCACTGGGGGGGTACGCGAAGCGTACAGAATTACAGCATTGGGCTTGTTCAAATGGCCATTTACCCTCCATGCCGAAGATATAGACATGACGGGACAGCGTGGTCATTGCCAATACGGCCATGAAACCGGCGAAGTTGTTTGTGCGCCCGCGCAGACGTTGCCAAATGGATGTTTTAAGTGTGCTGACATATGTTGATCGAAGTTCTTCGCATTCACATGCCTCCTCGTTTCGTTCTGCGTGGACGCCATCGACCACCACATTCAACACGAAATCCTCTGAGTATTTTCCGATGTGCATTTTGGATGTGCCGTTCAAGAATACGATGTCGCATTTTCCCTCTCTGGGACTCACCTCCACACTGGCGCCAAGAATTATATCGCACAACCACATCGAATGCATCGATCTGTTTACCAGCACCTTCAGTCAGACCCCCGTCGCCCACAAGTGCAATAGTCTTGGGGCCGAGCTCGTGTAGCCATTTAGCGCAACCGCGGGGGATTCGGTTGAACAGCTCAGGCGCTGATTCAATCACGTGTGCAACTGCGTTTTTCTTCGCGCCCATCTCTGGAGTAGGGTGCGCCATTTTTGAACCGAAATGACGTCCTCAAGTCTTGGGCCAACATGGCTGCAGGGAGCGAGAACGCTGAAGGGAGAGGGGTGGAATGTGGAGGCAGCTGCGGATGGAAGTGCGGGGGGGGGGGGGGGATGAAGACGAACAGGAAGAAGAGGAGGGGGGATCATTCCAGGCCTGTTCTACACGATGGACCTCCTGGCCCTGTCTTCAACGATAGTCCTTTCAGGCCTGTTTTCGACGATGGTCCTCCCAGGCCTGTTCACACAGGTGGTTTTCAAGATCGCTCAAGCTGGCTTCTACCGCTCCTTGTTCTACACGATGGACCTCTTGGCCCTGTCTTCAACGATGATCATCCCAGGCCTGTTTTCGACGATGGTCCTCCCAGGCTTGTTTACACGGGTGGTCTTCAAGATCGCTCAAACTGGCTTCCAACATGTCTGGTTCTACTCGGTGGTCCTCCTGGCCGTGTCATCAACGATGGTCCTCCCAGGCCTGTTTTCGACGATGGTCCTTCCAGGCCTGTTTACGCGGGGGGTCTTCAAGACCGCTCCAGCTGGCCTCCAACATGCCTTGTTCAAAACGATGTTCCTCCTGGGCCGGTCTTCAACCATGGTCCTCCCAGGCTTGTTTTCGACACAACGCAACACAGTACAATATTATACAGCACGATGCAATACAATGCAACGAAACAACATATAACAATACAATGCAGCACAATACATCTCCATACACAATGGCGCCACATTGAACACGAGGGAATGCACATCGGGGATAGCATAGCATAGCATGGCAAGACCTCGACATTCCATTGCAAATGTCCGACGCCGCCTCCGCGATGTGGAGCGTACAGTCAGAAGGTATATTGTAGTGGCCTTCGGCCAGTGCCGCCGATCCGGGTCGCTCGGATACACATATTACGCGGACACCTCACGCACACACACACACACACACACACACACACACACACACGACCAAATGCACATACGGCAGACACACATACAGAGACACACTAGGCGCACGCCAGACACTAGCACGCACAGATTCGCAGACACGCACCACACACAGACACTCGCACAGGAGCCTGTCAGGGCGTCGAGGGGGCTTCTTGGGGGTTTTGGGGGGCCCTCTTGGGGGCTCTTGGGGCCTCCTGGGGGCCTCGTGGGCTGGAAGGCTAGATTTGTTCCGCTTTTCGTCCCTCTTTTGGGTCCTCTTGGGGCCGTCTTGGGGGCCTCTTGGGCCGTCTTGGGCGGCTTTTGGGCCGCCTTGGGGCCCTTTTGGGCCGTCTTGGGATTGTCTGGGGGCCTCCTGGGCCGTCTTCGAGCGGTCTTGGGGGCCTCTTGGGCCGTCTTGGAGCGTCGGAAAGCCGAAAAAAACGACAACCCCAAAAACATGAAAAAAAACAAATGGAAATCAACAATTTTTGCTCCTGGGGGCCCTCGTGTCCGACGCCGCCTCCGCGATGTGGAGCGTACAGTCAGAAGGTAGATTCCCTTCCCCTCCCCTCTTCGCTCCTGCGCGCGCGCGTTGGCACGAGGGAGAGCCGTACCATAGCTGCGTTTGCCCAGGCCTGTCTGACGAGCGTGCGAGACCGGCGAAAGCTCACCACCGATCGCTTGCAAAATAAGCTATCACATACATCACAGGTGCGAGATCGTCAATTGTTGTACTGCGCACTGATGTGTCTCAACGACAAGCAGCAAACGTCGCTCATGAGTTGAGGAGGAGAAGGTGTGGGCAGGAGGAGGCGAGAGGGGGGACAAGGAAGAAGAGTATGGAGGAGGAGCAGCGTCAAAGCCAGCAGCAGGAGACACCGGGCTTGGCGCCAGGAGAAAGCGGAGGAAGAAGAGAAGAGCAGAAAGAGCAAAGGAAAAGACCAACCCCGGCTAGGCCCAGAAGATATTCAACTGCGTTCTTTCAAGAAGTTGATTCAATTCCCTGGGGCGACCTGTATTCTTGAACCGATGCTCCAGAGAACGGCGATTTCGCCAGGGTTCTATCTTTTCTTACAAGAAATAGAAATCCCAGAGCTCTCCTGCGGGCGAATTGGAATACAAAAGAGTGGTCCCAGGGAGGCCGTGGGAATCTTAAACATGAAAAATAGTTTTAAACCATGGAAAAAAAGAGTCCTTATCTGTTTTTTTTGAACAGGTGTTCCGCAGAACGGCGATGTCGCGAAGGGCTTGATTTGATTATCCAAAGCCTTTGAATATCTGTTTATTTTGTTATATTGTAGTTGCCTCCGGCCAGTGCCGCCGATCCAGGGTGCTACCGATTCTGCTTGCAACGGATGACTTTTTACGTTTACATTTAGAGCGCTCGCTCAAGACATCCTCATAAGATAGAGATGTTGAGTTCGCTTGGGCAACCTTCGAATATTCGAAGGTGACGATCTCGCGTGACCAGCCAAACTCGTGGGATGTCCCCTCCCACCTTGCGGGCCTGAATGGCGTCAGCCATGGCGTCAGCCCCCGCCCCCCCCCGATTCCCCCGTCGCGGACGTGAATGGTGTCAGCCATGGCGTCGGCCCTCCCCCCCCTTTCCTCCTGGGCCTGAATGGCGTCAGCCATGGCGTCAGCTCCCCTCCCACCCACCCCCAGATCCCCTTCCCGGGCATGAATGGCGTATAAGGCCAATGCGTTCCCCCCCCCCCCCCCCCCCCTCCCCCCCCCCCCCCCCCCAGTTCCCCCCGTCCCCCCGACTTCCTCCTCCCTCCTCTCCGGTCCTAACTGTGTCAGCCTGGCGCTCCCCGCCTCGCCATGGCTGCACATCATCCCATGGGCGTATCCCCCCCTCCTCCCTCCCGGTCTGAGGGCGGTGGGGGGGGGGGGGGGGGGTCATCCCCCCCTGATGGCGTCTACCCCCCCCCACACCCACAGAGCTGATCCCTCCCCCCATCCTCCCTACCCGGCCTGAATTGCGTCCGCCTCCCCCCCGCCCCTTCCTCCCTCCTGGGGTGGGCCTGAAAGGCTCACCCCCCCTTCCTTCTCCAGAGCCAACACCCCCCCCCTCACCCCTCCTCCCGGCCTGAATGGCTTGGGGCCCCCTCCCCCGTTCTCGTCCTCCATCCGGGGCGGGTGAATGGCGTCAGCTCCCGCCCCCCCCCCCCACACAGCTAAGCCCCCCCTTCCCCTCTCCTCCCTCCGAGCCTGAATGGCGTTGGCCCCCTCCCCCCGCCCCCGCTCGTCCCTCCCGAGCCTGATGGCTTCAGCCCCCCCCTCCTCTTCCTCCCTCGCTGGGCCTGATGGCGTTCAGCCCGCCCGCCCCCGACCAGAACGAAGCCCTCCCTCCTCCTCCTCCCTCCCGGGCATGAATGGCGTCAGTCCCCCCCCCCCCTCCATCGTCCCTCCCGGGCCTGAATGGCGTCAGCCCGACCCCCCCCCCCCCGAGATTGGGGCTCCTGAAGACTTCCGGAAAGTTGGGCCCCCAGGGGGGCAAGTTTCGAAAGTTATTTTTCCAATTTTTTCAGGCCCCCGGAAAGTAATGCTTTCAATTATTATTTAAAACCTGTAACTTTTTAATTTGTTTCCCATTTTCAGGCCTGCCCTGAAAGTTACTTGTTCGGCAATGTTTGGGAAATGGGGCGCCCCCCCACGCCGAAAAACTATCCTGGCGATGGGCCCAACCATATGCAGTTACGAGTACCGCAAAGCAGGTTGAACGAAAGAGAGGGAACTCCCTAAGGGGCCACGAAACGTGTGAGGGGTGTGCCGAAATGGGTGCGGTGCCGCCATGCGAACGCAACCACTGGGGCCCTCGGTGGAGCTTCCCTATGGGCCCGAAAACATGTTATGGTGTGCCGAAGATGGGGGTGCGGTGCAAGCCATGCGAACGCAGCCACTGGGGCCCTCGGTGGAGCTCCCTATGGGGCAACGAAACGTGTGAGGGTTGTGCCGAAAATGGGTGCGGTGCCGCCATGCGAACGCAGCCACTGGAGCCCTCGGTGGAGCTCCCTATGGGGCCACGAAGCGTGTGATGGGTGTGCCGAAATGGGCGCGGTGCCGCCATGCGAACGCAGCCATTGGAGCCCTCGGTGGAGCTCCCTATAAGGCCACGAAACGTGTGAGGGGTGTGCGGAAATAAGTGCGGTGCCGCAATGCCAATGCAGTCACTGGGGCCCTCGGTGGAGCTCCCTATGGGGCCACGAAACGTGTGAGGGGTGTGCCGAAATGGGTGGTGGGGAGGCATGCTAACGCAGCCACTGGGGCCTTCGGTGGAGCTCCCTATGGGGCCACGAAACGTGTGAGGGGTGTGCCGAAATGGGCGCGGTGCCGCCATGCTAACGCAGCCACTGGGGCCCTCGGTGGAGCTCCCTATGGGGCCACGAAGCGTGTGATGGGTGTGCCGAAATGGGTGCGGTGCCGCCATGCCAACGCAGCCACTGGGGCCCTCGGTGGAGCTCCCTATGGGGCCACGAAACGTGTGAGGGGTGTGCCGAAATGGGCGCGGTGCCGCCATGCGAACGCAGCCACTGGAGCCCTCGGTGGAGCTCCTTATGGGGCCACGAAACGTGTGAGGGGTGTGCCGAAATGGGAGCGGTGCCGCCATGCGAACGCAGCCACTGGGGCCCTCGGTGGAGCTCCCTATTGGGCCACGAACGTGTGGGGGTGTCCGCATGCGGTGCCGCCATGCGAAACGCAGCCATTGGGCTTTCGGTGGCGCTCCCTAATGCTGGCCACGAACTTGTGACTGGTGTGCCGAAATGGGCCGCGGTGCCGCCCATGAGCGAACGCAGCCACTGGTGCCTTCGGTGGAGCTCCCTATGGGGCCACGGAACGTGTGACTGGTGTGCCGAAATGGGTGGTGGGGAGGCATGCGAACGCAGCCACTGGGGCCTTCGGTGGAGCTCCCTATGGGGCCACGAAACGTGTGAGGGGTGTGCCGAAATGGGTGGTGGGGAGGCATGCGAACGCAGCCATTGGGGCTTTCGGTGGAGCTCCCTATGGGGCCACGAAACGTGTGAGGGGTGTGCCGAAATGGGTGCGGTGCCGCCATGCGACGCAGCCCACTGGGCCCTCGTGAGCTCCCCTATTGTGGGCCACGAAACATTGTGAGGGTGTGCCGAAA